ACAAATTGACTGTATTCTCATTCACAGCTACGTTATCTGCCAATACTGACTGATCCACAGCATGGCAAGTTACAAATGAAAGACTAAATGCAGCACAATTTTACTATTCATGTAAAATACATAGATAACATTCTTATCTTCTGGACTCCCTCCAATTACTATGATAAAATTTCATAATCACTACTTGTACATCAAAATGCATTTCAAATACACCTACAGCAGTATCCTATTATTAGCCACTCTGCCCAACATAAAACAGAAAGCATATAAACTACTATACATGAAAAGCATGCCAAGTATCATACACATCATTATAAAGCAGATGCTTCTTGAAACACCCCTAGAAAGCTATAACATACAGAAAGCCCTCAGACACCACGAACATCATGTGTATCATTCTCTCACAATGCCCTGCTCAGCAATCTCAGATCCTTAACTAAATAAACACACCACTCTAGAGAAATCCATCAAGTCTTCCCCGAGTCCTCTAAAGCTCTCAGTTCTAACTCTGAGGGAAACTCATAAACCCAGATGATTCTGAGAGTTAAAACATAAACTTCAAAGGATGCTAAGCAACACAACAGAGAACATTAGGATTCAAATGCTTTATAATTCTCACTCATCCATAACAAAAAGCTCCATATTCATCTGTCTCTGGGCCTGAAAGGAATTAATGACTCTACTGTGTCTTCTCTGAATAACATCCTTTCTCCTTCCTCCACCCCTGCTCCACAGGTGTCCACTATTTTTTGCTTTAAAATGATGCAGGTAAGTAAACAGGTTGAACCCATAACAATTTACAGCTGTTCTTTGAGACCTCTCCTGCTATTACAGATTTTAAGAGGCTCACATGGTCAAAAGGAGGCATCTTTTCCAATTATTGCAATAATTCTAGGATATTATCATCTCCTTATAAAATCTGTAAAGCTTTTATTCTTAAAAAAATCACAATTACAATGCAATGAGTGCATTAAAGTATTTTTCTTAATATAAAGACTTTTAAGTGCTCATGGTAACAGAGATAAATAAAACAAACCATGTAGAGCTTCAAGAAACCTGATTACAATGTTCTTTTGTCTACAGCAGAAAAATTATTCTATGCTGCACATAAAATTAAGATAATTATCTACTAGTTTAATTTAAGGAAAAGCATGCATGCTGCTCACTGCAGTAACAAAAGCAATTACTTTTGTGGTAAGTTAAACATTAGATTTGGAATGTTTTCAAACTAAGCATAATAATGTTTTAACAGCAGTTTACACTATAAAAAATTCAAGCAGTGTCCTTTTATGCATCTGAAAATTTAATTTTAGATGTGCTGAAACTTTATGGGTACAGCAGTATAAAAATTATGTTAACCAGCATTTAAAAAGGACAGGAATTATACTGAGAGTTATGCAATTATTAGCTATAATTTGCATATGTACATAAATTACACAGTATAGAGGTATATAAGCAATTCTTATAATGATTCAGTTAGGAGAACTGCTTTTTAGAAATGTGATCTGTTACTGGTTTCCGTACTTGCTTTCATTAAGTCAGCAAGCCAAGCTCTTAGTAAGCAAGTATGGTAAAAAACTACTGAGATGAGCTTGTTAATAATGTTTGTAGTTTTGCATAGGGATATTAAACTCATACTATATTTATTTTATTACACAAGCAAGCACTGCTTTTTATACATTAATAATTTTCATTTGATAGTTTACAAGGACAGAATCAATTAAAAACCAAGCTTACTAAACTGTCTGTTCATGTAAGAGATCTCTGCCACATGATTTTCAAGTTGTTTGGGTTTTCCTATTACAAATATATAGAATAGCTGCAAGGTAATTTTCTAATTATGTTTAAGCCTGCTTAAGCCTATGTTTAACCAAAGTTAGCACAGAAAAGACATATTTTATATACTATCACTTCTGGAAGCATCACATCATCCTGAGCCACAACAGAGACTCACAGCTGAAAAGGACAGCTAAGTCTCCATCCTTCTCCAACAATTCCCTACTCATTCTCTTCAAATTACACTCAGCATAGTATCTCACACAGCCCTTTTCTTCTCTGTAAATAATGAGCAGCTGTTTTGCATATGTCAAAAAAGTTTCTTGACAGAGATTACAATACCAGGATCTTTCCAAGGTTGTGGTAACAATAATGCTGATGTTCCAAATATTTTGCAGAACATAAAAATATTTATCTGAAATTCTGCTTTTAACCATTAGAGGAATGTTGAATAATGAACTCCAGCAACATTTAGTACTTAGTCACAATATACTTACTGAGTAAATTAAAAAATTTTGTTTTTCCAAAAGAAACATTCTTCCAGAAGCAATATTTTAAAGTTGCCATTTAAAAAAGGCTGATTTCCCTAAGATTTTCTAACCATATTTTATACATTATTGAAGGCTACTAGCTAGAGTACAGGGGTCTTTTAAATTTCTATCAGGGACCATACAATTTGAATGTGGCTTGGGTTTTTTTAGGCGGTCTACAAATTAAAGAACAATTTTAATGAATTTGATTAATTATATTTGGCATTACCACATTAAGAGATAATGGGTAGTTTCAAACAAAGCTCTACATTGCTTTTCTAAGTATGTGGATTAAAAAATTAGTTTTTCTCAGGAAATTAAATATTTAAATAGAAAATCTATGCAATTTTCAACAAGAATAAAAGGAAGAAAATAGATCAGTCCTAAATGTGTTTTCTTCATCATCTGCATATACACCAAGTGAAAGGAGTAGATATTTTCAAATATGTTCCAATACCCCTAAAGACAGAAAATGTTGAAATTTCTCATTTCTCAGTCACTTCCTGTTGCTATATCAACACAACTGTATCTAAACCAAGCTATATGCAAAACAAAATCTCTTATGTTAGAAATCTGAACGTATTTTATAATATTTTTTTCTTCCCTACTGTGTTATATTTATTAGGAAAACATTCTTATTTCTAATAGGGAAACAAAGTAAAAACAAATTTTGAAGAAACTATAAGACAAGTTCTTTAAGTGTTAGTAATAGTCAATTTTTTTCATAATATTTAACATGATCACCTCTTTCTGGTAACTTATGGATAAAGCAAGAGAAAGCAAATGAATAAACTATCATTTTCAAGAAACTATCAGATTATGAAAGGTTCTCGAGGCAGAACTTAGTTATCTTGAACCAAGAGGACAAAAGGATCTCTTTTGCTCTAATCAGTGGCAGCACTAACCTTTCCTAGCTTGTGGGGATCTCAACAGTGTGTGTAACTTACAATATTTTACCTGTGACTTTCTGACTCTAAATGTAATTTAAAGAGAACATTCAGCAAATTAAAAAGGAAATTCATATTCAGGAATATAGTTCAAACAGCACTACCTAGTGCATCAGCAACTTGGAAAAGAGGAAGTGAGCATTTGTAGATACATTCACAATATCCTTGATATACCTGGAAGCAATAAACCTAATCTACAGCTTGTATGAATCAGTGCAGCTTCATTCATTTCAGTGATAATAGGCTGATTTGTATAACCTGACAGTCTGACACAAATCTATTAAGTTTTTCAAGCTTTATTTTTTGACACATAACCAGTTCTCAGAAGAGATGACATGGGGCTTGATTCCAACATAGCATTTGTAATGGTAGATGTTCATTATAAGTATTCAGATCTGAAAAATTAGTTCAAGTACTAAGGTTCTAAAATCTACAGATTAAAGGTAATACAATAATTACTTCTAAGAGCATCAAAATGGAACAATATAAAAAGAGGTAATTGTTTTTAAACTAACAGCAATTTTTAAGTATGCAAATTAATGTTTCCTTCTGTACTTATAGAGGGAAAAATTTCAAGTAAGAAGAGAAAAGACCAGGCACCTCAAAAATTTTAAATACAATATTTAAACATTTTTGAGGTTCTCAAAGCCCAGCAGGCATCTCAGTTGACTCAGTGCCTAAAATTCCATTGCTAAAGTTTGCTGAAGAAAAGAGCACACCCTATATCAGCACAGTCTTGGTGTAGTTCTGGGTGACAAATTTCCTCTGGCAGGGTAAAGGTGAGCCCCAGGGCAGGAGCCACTGTTGAAAAAGAAAATATGTACTACTTCACTCACTCTTTACCCATCCTTCTTCCATTTTTGAAAGGAAGACTTTAAAAAAATCTGAGGCTGAATTCCCAGGAATTAAAGGCTTATGGCAGTACTGACCAATTTAAATTCATGCCCTAACTATCCTGCCAGAATTTCATATCTCAATTCTGGCCCTTCTTCACATGCAGTGTATATGAAAGAGGCAAAGCTAATTTCACATAGCAAAGGGTATCTAAAGATTGTCATTTAAATGCATATTATAATGCTTCAGTCATTGTCTGAATCCAAGTGATGCAAAGGTCTCAATACAGAATTAAACATTATAGAACATATTCTATTCTCTTTTTTTTGTTGTTGTTGACATGCTCCCCTGGCCTTTTAAAAAACATATCTGAAATATTCTATTGAAATAGAGTTTAATCACAATGCACATTTTCATTCCTTACACTGCTGACTAAATAATTAACCTAAATTACTAATCAGAAAGCAATACCTCGTGGTTTTTCTGACACGTTGGCTCCAGATTGAGCCTCCTATCTCAAGCAGGAAAATTGCTGAACCATTTACATGTCTCAAAAGTAATTCAAAACTCAAGGCTTCAAGGACAAGGCAAAGTCTTCCCAATTCCCAGCCATCCCTAAAATGCTAAGTAAACAAAAACCCCAAATAAAACTACAAGCAATAGTGGATGTATCTATGACCTGTGACTTGAATCAATACAGATAAATTAGAAGTACATTGCTTCTTGGATCAGGTAATATTTCGATTTTGGACAGAATTAATGTCTGGGGTGGGGGGTGACTTGTATACAATACTGAATGGCCAGAACAAGATATATAGTTTGGGAAGTGATGTGTGTAACTGCTTATCATTAAACAGTGGAGAAATTACTGCAACAAATTCCCACATCTGTCTCATATGCAACTTCAACATACCTTTCCAACTTGTTTTACTTCTATATTTATCCAGGATGAACTCTGCAAAATGAAATAAAATGGTGAGCAAAAATGTAGTCACTGATTCTGCCTGAGAGATTCCGAGGTGTTTCAAGTGGTAGAGCAGGCTATATCTCAACTAGATAGCAGAAAGAAGTTTAGAAATTACCCAATGTGTTACAAACATTGAAATACAGATTACTATGAAAGGAAGTCAGCAGGTAGAAAATTCCTTATTTTCCTATGGCAATAAGGCACATTATATTTTCAGTCTCTTTTTTAAACAAAAGAAACCCATATTTTTTTGTACTAATTTGACATGCACAATTTGTTTCATGTCCTGCTTATGAGGCAGCACAAATCTAGTTAAAATTATAACCCAGGTGACATTTTAAACAGAACCACTGGAAGGATTTGGTGTGTTGGCCAGAAATAGAACTCTAAAACATACTGATTCACATCTTGGCTCTAGTAAATGTTTAGCTATGACTTATTTAATTTTCTCTGGTTTCCATTTCATTATGCTCATAAGATAATGAGCAGAATGCACTTACAGAGGGACTAATGTACTGGTTCTACCTGCAATCTTTTATCCTCACTTTTCAAGGTACGCAGTAAGCACTTAAAACAGCCTTCATTATCACTCCTTACTGGCAAGCAAAGCAGCTGAAGAAGATAAAAGATATCATGGGAGGAGCAATAGTAAACAACTATCACCTCCTCATAAGTTCCCTTGAGTCCAAGTTCTCCTATTTCTTTCCTTCCTCGTTATGTGTAAGAAGTTCTCTATAATGAACATGCACTGGTTGCAGAATTAGCCTATCTGAAATTTTCTTCTACGAACCCGATTGCTGTTTCAATTGTTAGAAGCATATCTGAAGAAGAGTTTATTTCAAATCCATCAAAATTTCCTGTTTACCACAGTGAATTTCTGAAAAAAATAGTATCAGCTAATGCAAGTCTAAAACTGGATATAATAATATTCTTTAGTTGCAGAGAATTTTGTGAACAAATACTCAAAACAGTCATGGTCAGAATATTTCCAAATATGTAGAGATGATACTGAAATTAACCTCAAACATGCACATACAAAAATGCATATTCTTTGGAAGTTTACACTTCAATGGTATCAGTAAACAAAAATACTTAGAGAGTCTCTTTTCATTTAACATTACTATATTCATATAAATGTATGATCTCTCTTACAAAAAATTAATGTAAACTTCATCACAATACAAATGTTTACACTATAGTTGCTCCGGCTTCATGCATGTTTTGTAAACAACTATTTCTAAACCACATGGGGATTTGCATCAACTGACCTCAAGTATTTGAAGCGACACATGGTTTATGCTAGAGATGTAAATCCCCTCTTCAGTCAGTGAAGAAAAAGAGAAATATCTTTGAAATTATTCATTAAGTTTTACTTAACAATCTTACACGGCAGTGAACTAAGCCCTGAAGATAGTGTTTTCTACCTGTTGGACTATGACAGGAGCCATAATAACAAGTGTACATGGCTAGAGCAAGTCACAATGGATCTCATCTTTTATGATCAGAATATCATTGTCTCTAATATGTCAGCTAAGACAAACTTCTCATTATTTGAATACTGACCGCCACTGGCAAGACTTGCTCTAAAAACACTCGGCAAATAGGATAACAGAATGATTTAACTTGTGCTCCTGATAATGTCTGGAAACACACAATTTACATTGTAAGAAATATGTTTATGTCTTTGTTTCTTTCAGATCATACTTTCTGAAAGTATCATACTTACTTTGATATCTGTATCTCTTCTTCATTATGTTATTGCACAAATGTGAAATTCCATTTATAAAGGAGTGGGTGCCTACCATCAGAGATTAGAATTGCCATCTTTCATTTGAATAGAGATATTTTTCCTCTCTGCAATAGGGAAAAGGTATTTGTGGCAAAGAGGTCTATGAACAGAATATGAGTCAGCACTGCAATGTTGATTTCAAAAAGAAGTATGTTTGATCTCTTAACAGGGATATTTTGAGACGCACTGGGGAAAAGCAAGGTCCTGGGATCTAATTGCCTACAGAAGTGACAGACATCCAAAATAAAGGGGTAAACCATGTGAAACGTCAAGGAAGATAGTGACAATCAAAGAAAGAAGTGAAGAAACCTCTCCAGAATATACTACGCTGTAACATTCTTGTTAGACATTCTGTCATGCTTGTTAGAGTGAAGGTGCCATTCTCATGTAAACTCTGGAAAGTAGTTCATCTTTCATGTCCCTTCCAACAGCCAAATTATTCAATAATTCTATAACGCATTAAGCAATTTTTCTATTGTATTCAGCACTAGCAAGTACTATTCTTAGGTAAAATATTCTGTCCTATTTAGGATGCTAATATTCTGGAAAAATTTGACAAACTGCAGAGGATCCAGAAGACCAGAGAAGAGCAGCAAGTACAATCAGCAGTCTATAAATACAGGAAAAATATAAAGGTTTACAGGAAAAATATAGTCAGTTGATTTTGTACAAATAAAACAAGATGATTGAAGTGAAGACTTAAACTCTTGAAGTCTTCAAATAAACACAAAGGAACTGGAAAGAGGAAGGCAATAAACAGTTCTTCATGTCTACAGTAGACAGGATTAAACACAATGGGCTGAAATTACATCAGTGTACAACAGACAAGAAAATAAGAAAAAAAACCAAATTTGTAGCAAGAAGTAAGGATTGAAACAGCATGCCTAGGTAACTAAGAGATCATCAAAATAATGAATTTTTCAAAGTAATTTAAAACAGTAGTTTACAAACCAGCATAAACACTGGCCAGGTCAGATCACGTTGTATTGTTCCATCTCACCACTTCACATCATGACCTTATATCATTTGCTGCTCCTTAGACAATCCAGTGAGAAATTACTAGTTCTACTTCCCCAGTTTCATTCCAGATCCTTTCTCAAATATTGTGTCAAGCACCACAGCTTCTAGAGCAATCTCTGTCCATAGACTCTTATTTTTTCTTCCATCTTTCTTTCAAAAATAATTAGTTCCCATTATGTCTCATCGGTGTACACAGCTCAATACATAAGGAGTCCTTTGGATTCACAGTTTCAGTAAAGCTTAATTACATATTCTCTCATAGTCTCCCCAGTTATATTTTGCTAAAAATCTATTAATTCCACCAGTGGGGTAGCTTTTCTTCACAAAGCCTCCTTGTGGCTGGAAGTTGTAGGAAAAATATTTTCTTCAAACATGCATCAATATATTTGATTGATAGCAGCTGATCTGCTGAATTGTATATCCAAAACTTCTGTAAAAAATCTGAAAGCATCTGTAATATGTCATACAAAACTGCAGGCCCCTTGAGCCCATCAGTATACAGAAGTCTGCTCAGCTTTACAAGCCTTTTAATAACTGCCAGAGCTTCCTATATTTGGGTTAATTTAATTAATTATTTCATATTAGGATTGGGAAGCCTTCAAAGCCATTCTTTATCTTCATTATGTGCTTGTCTTCACTGATGCATATCCTTAATTGTGAACCAATTGATTATATGAAACAAATACCTAACTCCAGAAACATCTAAATAGTCATATTTTTAGTTTACTTTGTTACCTGAAAGGACATATTGATAAGTTATGCAAAAAAATATTCTAGAAATGCCAGTATTTTCTGGAAATGGAGCATATTGAAAGAAGAATTTTACAATTCAACAAATAATTATTACCATTATGTAATTGCAGAAGTTATTTAGTTTGGGTTTTTGCTGTTTTTGGTTTTGGTTTTTGGGGTTTTTTTTATGGAACATATCAATTGCAAGAAATATACACAACCACTTCACATTAATCTATTCAATATTTTCTAAAATATAACAGTGAGTTTTTTGAGATATATTGACACTAAAATATAAAAAAACTCTATGGTATAAATTTGTGAGATTAATACCAGATATCTTATAGTTTCCAAGCTGGATGACCTCTTGTGGGATTAGTCAAGAAAAAGCTTTGAAGTTATGAAGATTTGCCACCCTTATCCATTATTAGCAGGCAATGGCAATGATGAAAAAACAGATTAGAAAACTGTTATAAAAATACTTCTTTCCTGACAACTGAATAATTATGTGCCATATATTCACAAATATATATATATATATAATACTTCTTATTGCATATTGAGCTTTACATAATGCTACACATGGGTCAATTATGAAAGAAAATAACACTCCTGCTTCAAAGAACTGACTCAGAGGTTCTATCATGGCCTCGAAATTCTGTGCTTTACAGGGATGATATTGAGTAATGAATTTTTTTCTTGGATATACTTTGAAGTTAAAAAGTAATAGCAGTTCATGCAGTAACAGTTCTCAAATTCAAAACTTCCTGCAATCACCAATTCAAGAGTTGCCCTTAAACAGATCTACTTTGTTGCAGTTCAGTAACATAAAATTGCTTATGTCCCCTGTACCCATGCAACTGTTTTATCAGTTTACAGTGTGTTAAGTGGTTGCAGGTAGGTCAGCAAACAGAATCCAGGATCTGATGATCGGCAACTGAAGATTATAAACTGAACAACAAAAAAAAAAAAAATTGCTCTTTGTGGATACAATTCAACTAGTGGAGTGGAAATTGGGGGAAACATCATCCCTCCACTGAAGTTCAAGTCACAGAAGTCTGCACTTTTTCATCCAGACTTTTCCTCAGGCAGTCTGCTCAACTCAGTTGAAAACACCAATGTAATTTTCTTCTACTTCTTGCCTGTATTTAAAATTAAGAAACATAACGACAAGTATGTAATACGCTTACTATTAAAATAGATCTGCTAATGCAGAGAAATTTGATACTTTCAGTAGTCTACGGTATCTTTTACAAAAGAGAATAATAAGTAAATCAGAGTATTATCTAAGAAAAAATTAGCAGCAACTGCTGTTCCAAATTGAAACCACCTTAGTTTTGCCTAAAAGATGAAAATGTAACTGAAAAGGCATACTCCTCCTTTCTATGTCCCGTCTGTCAGGCTGAAAAGGTTTTACACACGTGGCTGTGTTTGCACCTTCAAAGAG